TAGATAAGATGGTGCACATAGCCAGATAAGTGGAAGAAGATGGTATATGTTGTCAGACAAGTGGAATAAGATGGTATATGTAGTCAGACAAGTAAATTGAGGTGGTACATATAATCAGGCATGTGGTAGAAGATGGAATGCATAGTCAGACAAGTAGAATAAGATGGCATACATAGTTAGACAAGTGGTAGAAGATGGAATGCATAGTCAGACAAGTAGAATAAAATGGCATACATAGTCAGACAAGTGGTGGAAGATGGAATGCATCGTCAGACAAGTAGAATAAGATGGCATACATAGTCAGACAAGTGGTAGAAGATGGAATGCATAGTCAGACAAGTAGAATAAGACGGGACATGTTGTCAGACAAGTAGATTAAGATGGCATACCTAATCAATCAAGTGGTAGAGGATAGAAAGTATAGTCAGACAAGTGGAACAAGATGGTATATGTAGTCAGACAAGTAGATTAAGATGGTACACATAATCAGACAAATAGACTAAGATGACATGAATAGTCAGACAAGTGGAACAAGATGGTACATAGAGTCAGCCGAGTAGAATAAGACAGGACATAGTCAGACAAGTAGAATAAGTTATGAGATATAATCAGACAAGTAAAATAAGATGTACAAATAACATGACAAGTACATTAACATGTGTAACTAACCAGATAAGTAAAGCACAATACCTAAGTATTCAAACAAGTGAAATTACATGAACCAGGTCAGACAAGTAGAATAAGCACACCATCCACAGAAATAGATAAAAAAGTACAAAGTAGCACACAGGTGGACTGCAAACTAGTCAGACCAGTAGAATGAGTACACCTCAAGAGTATAATACGAACGCTACACAACTAAAAATAAATGAAAACAAATGATTAAACAAGTAAAGAACCATCTCACAAAAATTTACCAACACATATTAATATCTACATTTAGTACCAATTTTAATTTACCAACCGCTATTTATTGCAAGACTAATTAAGTTTTTCACTGGCTGTAAGCGAAGTTCAATAATAAATGTCCTGAATAGAATTACTGGAACAGCGATAGCTAATCAGACGAAAGCCGTTGACAAAACTCCAGACGTTTCGCTGTAATTTAAGCGTCGGTTTACGATGTCGTTCCGTCGTTCACGTAGCGAGGTAAAATGCACGCTTATACGAATCCACCGCGTAATTAAACGGTAGGCTGTAATTACAATCGTTAGTTAACGACATCAAGGCTCCTGTCATTACTGTTCACTTTTCTCTAACCTAACATCCTGCCGAAATTTCAACGAATTTCAAACCGGACACTTTTCTATTTCGTTACTCCACTGTCTTGTTAGCTGTAATTATAATTATTCAAATTATTCACGTAATTAAATAAAAAATATATCTAAATGGGATCAGTCTAATTAAGTAGAAAATTACCTTTAATTATTAAAAGTAGAAAGATAGAAAAGTAGAAAATCATCCATAATTATTATAAGTATTCAAATTGATATAATTATTAAAACTATCACTCCTAAATTTACATGATATATCTTTCCTTTTTCCAAGATGAAAATTTTCAGATTCATTCAAAATCTGGCAGTGAAATTTCGATAGCCGAATAAAGCCCTAAATTATCCAGCAGTGTTCTCGTACAAAATGCAGGTGAGAAATTGGAGCTATCAAGTATAATTCACGGCAGGTGCACTCTATCAAGCCTCACTGATTTATTACACGCTTGCGGCACGAACTCGCTTCAAGATTCAAGGACATCCTCGATACATGGACCAGAGTCAAGTTCAATTACTCTTCGATCCACCTGTATGGTCGTCTAGGAGAAAACCGTCTCGAACTGATAGCTTTATTGGCTGAAGAAAACCGTGAGCGGATATTCGTCGGGAATAATTCAATAGTATCGTGCATGTGCATCATCTTCGATGCCAGACGTGCTCTGCATCGATGAACATGTACGCTGCAGATTTTTCTCACGTATCAGTTTATTTATGCTATTCCATATTGATTCAATTAAACAAATTTCGACGTTTGATTTAATTAAACGGTTATCAATTTTCTGCTCGAGCAATTTTTAATTTTTGTTCTAATTAAATATCTGTGATTTCATTAAGGAGATTAAACACTTCGTGTTTTATTTAATTAACTAATTTTCAATTTATAACCTAGTGATCGATTTATAACTTCACGAGTTTTCGTTTGTGATAACATTCAATTTTTTATTCAATTTCCGAAATGATTAGGACAACTGGAAGAAATACAACCAGAATCGATCGTAGAACGAGTGACCTATTTCACCAACTTTCCAGACGCAAACACCGTCCTTAAGTCGGAAAGAAACGTAACCTTAGCGAATGTCCTCGGTGGAAGAAAGTCTCCCCGGAGGATTCGTACGTTCTCGGGTGGTCGTTGTTTGGTCGCATCCTCGCGTTTACGAGTTCCTCGCAGAGCAGAGGAAGACATTACCACGGGACATTGCTTTCGTCGCCCCGGTCACGGCTAACTTTCGTCCCTGCATTGCCACCTGTCCTTCAAGACGCTCGATTGCGTCTCGAACGACCGTTGGTTAAATCGTTCGACTACCAAATGTGTAGCGTAAACGAAAGTAGACTCAATGTCAACGGTTGTCTTCAAGGTTGCTTAATGTATGCCTATGATGTTGTACTCTCGATCTTTATGATGATGAAACAGTTATTGGACGTAGAGTACTGTGGACATTATTATACGCTTAGGTTTATAAATTTAGAGTACAAGTTTAGTTTGGAAATTTTTAACTTTGGGAATTTGGAAATTTGGGGCGCTGGATTTTGCGAAGCCTGATATCCCAATAACTCTATATATTGATATCTCTATATTTCCATATCTAAAGTTTGATATTTCTATATTCAGATATCCCTAACTGGTAATACTAGGTACCAATACTCCCATGACCTATATCCATATCGTTAAATACCAGTGTCCCTAGATACCAGAATTCCGATATTCCTAAGTATCGATACGCTTATATGTATAACGCTATTCCTATATTCCAATAAACCTTTACCCTGATACTCCTATAGACCGATATCCCTATATTCCATAATATCCCTACATCCCAATATCCTTATATCTCCAGATACCTAGATCCTAATATCCCTAGATCCAAATATTCTTACATCCCTACATACCTAGATCCCAATATTCCTAGATCTAAATATCTCTAGATCCAAATATCCTTGGAATCCCAAATACGCCTAGAATTCCAGATATCCCTAGATCCCAATATTCCTAGAATCCCAAATATTCCCAGAATTCCAAATATCCATAGATCCCAATATCCCTAGAATCCCAAATACTCCTAGATCCCAATATCTCTAGAATCCCAAATTTCCCTTAAGACCCCAATGTCCCTAGATTCCAATATCTTTGGATTCCAGTATCCCTAAAACCCAATACCCTTGGGTCCCAATATCTCTAGAACCCCCAATATCCCTAGATCCCAATATCTTTGGATTCCAATATTTCTAGATCCCAATATCCCTAGGTCCCAATATCTCTAGAACCCCCAATATCCCTTGGTCCTAATACCCCTAGAATCCTAATATCCCTAGAATCCAAAATATCCCTAAAACCCAATATCCCCCGATCCCAATATTCCTAGATCCCAATATCCCTAGGTCCCAATATCCCTGCACCCCTAGATCCCTAAATTCCTCGATCCCAATAATCGTTTACCCTGATACTACTATATTCCGATATTCCTACACCTCGTTATCCCTAGATGTCTTTCGATGTCTGTAAATACCCGATATCCCTAAAATTTCACAATACTACTATTCCCCGAGCACCGCCACAATCGATCGAAATGTCACACACCATAAATTTCCCAGCGCTGAAACGATGTCAACCGACGAGAATCAAAGGAGTTGGGCGAAAGTTGCATCGATCGGTTAGAGTAGTTCGAACGAGACAGAAATCCGCGATAATCCAGCGTGTCGAGCACATTCACGGTGGCCCTCGTCGTTTCACAGCCAACCGAAAAGAAGACGATGGCGGTGGTTTCCGCAAAGTCAAGGACGCAGAAGAAAGTTCCCGGAATCGCCGGAGTCGTTCGGTGTCACGATCGATACAAGGGTCAGTCCTGTAACGAAAACAGCCTGGGACGACGATCAAAGTGCAATAAATCGACGGCGACCGGCTGTGTGGCGCCACCGTGGAAACTTCCGTAACACCTGCTCGCTGGAAAAGTTTAATGAGAAACGAGCTAGAGACACTCGAGCGTGTGCGACGAAGAATTATGATGCACGGAGATACGACCAGACGGATGGAAGCGTCTACGGTGATGTAAGACGGATCTGACGTGTCGGTGACGTTGACGAAATAAGTCATGCAAATTCTGATGCTCTTTTGTGACGTAAGCGACAGCTTCGTCATCGGCGTGAATAACGAGGGTTTGGGTGGATTGGGATGTGGGATGACGATGCTCGCGGGGGAGGATGCGTAGGATATTTTATGGATCCTGTTCGGGATATTTTGACGGAAATTGGAAATTGGTGGAATTTTCAGTATTTGAAGCTGCAGAAATTTCCAGATTTCTAAAAAATTGAGATCACAAAATCCAAAATTCAAATTTTCAAATTTCCAAAAATCCAAGATTCCAACTTCCAGATTTCAAATTTCCAAATTTTCAAGATTTCTAAATTCCAAATTTCCAAAATCCCAAGATTCCAAAATTCCAAATTTCCAAAATCCCAAAATCCCAAAATTCCAAAATTCCAAAATTCCAAAATTCCAAAATTCCAAAATTCCAAAATTCCAAAATTCCAAAATTCCAAAATTCCAAAATTCCAAAATTCCAAAATTCCAAAATTCCAAAATTCCAAAATTCCAAAATTCCAAAATTCCAAAATTCCAAATTTCCAAAATCCCAATTTTCCAAATTTGCAAACCCCAACATCCCACTCCCCAAATCCTCAAATCAACAAATTCCAAACTGTCGCATCGTCATAAAAAAAAATCGACAATCCGATCAATCGATTATCGATCACGGTAATTACTTCACATCGTAGCAACGCGGTGTTTTCGGCCATCGATCGCAAGTCCCTTGTTTCAGCAGGACATCGTACGCAGGAAAGCGGAGAAGGACATGCTATTATCGAATAATGGCGCCATCGGGAAAAAAGACGAGAAACTATCGCGGCAAGAACCGAAAAACACAGCCACGTAGTTCCCATCGACAGCGATATAAGCCGAAGGCTGTTTCTCATCATGCGAGGCACCATAGAACCGTCAACATGCCGGAAATGGTGTACCGATTATTGAACGCCGCTAAACATAACCAAGGTATCGTAATTGCATTACATTATCAAAGGAAGAATTATTTTATTTCAAGTATAAAATAAGGTGCGACAATTTTTAACTCGCCTAACCTTAACCAGTTAAGGAAAGATCACCACAGGGTGTGGAATTAAAAACAACCAATGACATGTATACACGTCGAACGTAAGGCAAATGGTACTATTATACATTTTACGAAAAACGAGGAAGGATTACATTTTTATTCGCCAAAAAAACTAACAATTCGTTTCTGAATACGTTATTCAAACGCACCGCAATAGATATTTGGTCCGACGTGTATATACGTCGAACGCACTTAACTGATTGAAGAGAGAAGAATCTCTACTCATTTATGTACTTAAGAAACTTGGACTTGAGGATTAATTTATGTACTTAAAAATCTTGAACTTGAGGGCTAATTTATGTACTTAAAAATCTTGAACTTGAGGGCTAATTTATGTACTTAAAAATCTTGAAATTGGAAATAAATTCGTGCACTTAAAAATTTTAAACATATAAGTATGAATTTATATATTTGACAATCTTGAAGTTTAGTGGTCTGAAAATAACGATCTAGAAATACACTCACAAAATTAAGAACTACGATATTTGTCTGTTACGAAAGCCAAAATTGCAACGAACCGTTATTACGTAAGATGAATCTGCTGCGTTAGATTTCTTGTCACTGACGTGTCAACAGCAGACACTCAACGAGGACGTTGTTTTAGGACGAGGGGAGAGCGAAATGCTAGCCCGAAGTAGTGGCAGGTATCATGGAAAAGTGCGGAAGTATCAAAATCTTAGCGAATCCTCCTACGATACCTCGCCTGTTCGTGAAAGCACGATGTCTGTGGATGGGTCCAAGTACACGAAATCTGGAGCAACGTCTACGGAGAACACGTCGAGAGTGATGGACGCTACAAATAGCTCGGGGGGCAGCGGATCCTGCAACAGTAGCGTATCGAATATCTCCGTCGAACCGATTACGCTCGCGAATACGATCGATAACACCAGAGCACTCCTGAAAAAGAAATCTCTCGTACAGGTTATCAATAGTTATATCAAAGCTGGCATCGAGGAAGGTACGAAATGATTGATGCTTTCTTCTATCGGTACTGATATTACTCTACTGATATTAACGATTCTTTTGTAACGAGCAAATCGCTTATAAAAGTGTTTTCTTTCGGAAATATTTTTTGCATTTATTTTATTTCTTGTGCTTTCTGGACTTTCTGTATTTTCTGTGCTTTTTGGATTTTTTGTGTTCCTTGTATTTTTGTCAAATTTTGTAATTTCTATTATTTTTCTAGTTTTTGTAATTTTTATTATTTTTCTAGTTTTTGTAATTTTTATTATTTTCCTAGTATTTTTAATTTTTGACAATTTGATCATTTTTGTCAGTTTGGACATGTTTGTAATTTTGGTAGTTTTCTGTCATTCTTGTAGTTTTTGTAATTCTTGTAATTCTTGTAATTCTTGTAATTTTTGTAATTACTGTCATTTTTTACTATTTTTGTCAGTTTGGTAATTTTTGTACATTTTGTAATTTTTGTCGATTTGGTCATTTTTGTAATTTTTGTAGTTTTTTTGTAGTTTTTGTCATTTTTGTCATTTTTGTCATTTTTATTATTTTTATCATTTTTGTCCTTTTTGTCAGTTTTGTCATTTTTGTCATTTTAGTCAGTATCTCAAAACTATTTTAAATAACATGTTCAAAACGGAAATCCTAATAAATTAACCATCTAAAACGACACAATTTCCCAAGAGAACATTCCCAAAAATTCCATCTTGATTTTACTCCACCCAAACCCAACTAGAATTTTGAAAACATTTCGCAAATATTTGCAGGAAAACGCCAAGCAAAAAAGTACATTCGCAAAGCGCTGTCATTTGGCATGAAATCCGGTTACCTAATTCCGGCGGATCCTCAAGGTCAAGTGCTCCACGTGTCTCCAACATTGGTAGGAAGTCGAAAAAGCGATACAGAATCGCGCAAAAGACGTCGAAGAATACGGAGGGGCGAGGAGGAACCGTACACCGATCGCAGGGAGCGTCGTAAGGAAACACCCCCATGGAATACGAAACGGAAACGACATCGTGAAGCAACGCCATCGCCGATAACGCCTATTAAAAAAAGGAAGAAGGGATCTACCACGGTGAATCCGCAAATGAACTTACATCCGGAGAAGCCCGTTGCGAAGAAGAAGACTGTGGAACCTGCTAGAAAACCGTCGAGGAAGAAGAGCAATGTTAGCAAGAAAAAGTTGGTAGAAATAACATATTATATTTATTTGATATTTAATCGATAACTACGTGTTTTGTGGGAAGAGTAATTTATGGGGTGGAGCAGTGATTTTAGGGGTGGTATAGTAATGGGTGGTAATGTAAATTGGTACTTAGTTTCATATATTAATTTAACATGGTACTTTAGGGATAGAAGGTATACACATATCATATGTCATATATGATGGGTATTTTCAGGTAGTTTTTTGGGGGTAGTGGTATAGGGATAATGTTTCTCAGGTGATTTGAATGAGACGTCGAGTATCGTGTTGTAGTCGTTGAATTATTACAGGTTAATTTACTGCGCGTTGGGTATTGACATGTCATGTTACTATGCGTTGGATATCGACATGTTGTGTTACTACGCGTTGGATATCGATATGGCGAATGTCGACGTATTGAGTATTGACGTGTCGTATTACTGCACGTTGAATTTACTGCGCTACATATCGAATAGTTGAATTGCCAGATGTTAGATTACTAGACGCTGGATTACTACACGTTAGATTACTGCCCGTTAGATGACTACACGTTATATTACTACCCGTTAGATTACTACGCGTTGAATTTCTATACGTTGAATACTGGCGCGTTGTATCACTACGCACTGAATTCCTACGCGTTGAATTACTTCACGTTAGATTACTGCCCGTTAGATGACTACGCGTTATATTACTACCCGTTAGATTACTACGGGTTAGATTACTACGCGTTGAATTTCTATACGTTGAATACTGGCGCGTTGTATCACTACACACTGAATTCCTACGTATTGAATTACTACACGTTAGATTACTGCCCGTTAGATGACTACACGTTATATTATTACCCGTTAGATTACTACCCGTTACATTACTACGCGTTAGATTACTGCCCCTTACATTACTATGCATTGAATATTGGCACGCTGTATCACCATTATAAATTACCATTTTCCAAAACTCCTTACCATAATAATTTCTATGTACAATCATAGTAAATCCACCAACCATAAAATGAACTATAATTTTGCATCAATAAAACACTATAAAATTCCATTAACCTTAATAACAATAAAATGAACTACAATCTCAATTTTAATAACAATTAATTACGCTTTCTCACTGAACCAATTCACCCCTCCATAAAAAACAAATATCCAGCAGTAAAAGAGCAACGAACCCATACACAAAGAACTCATAGCAATTTATACCCTCCACATTTTATTGGCTATAATAAAACGTTTCATATCTCTCCCATGATCCACGCGTTCCAGGAGTAAGATGGCACCCACGACCCTGTCTGGTCCATCGAAAGAGCAATCTCAGAAGGTGAAGGCTGTGCCGAGAACGCGAAGCAAACACAAACCCGAAGTGGTCGAAAGGAGACGAAGTCCCAGCAAACGAAACACCAAATCGCCGTCGAGGAGCAACGAAAAAGACAGTCGCAAAAAAGATTCTCGACGATCCAGCGACGAGGACAGCGTGACGTTCTGCGAAACGATAGAGAGACGAAGATCGGAATCCAGTCAAGAGGATGTTCTGCGGGATAACAATGTTCCGCCGGGAAGTCCTGGCAAGGAAGTTGAAGGACCTCTAGAAACACCCAGCAACGAGGACAACGTTTTCAGTTCTGTCAATTGAACTTGTGTGCCTTTTATTTTTTAACGTTTGTAGGATTTTTTATTGTCATTTCGAGGAATTTAAATTTGGAATAAAGTTATTTGGAGAAGAGAGTAAATTTATTCGAAGTACTTTTTAGACCATGCAGATTTTTTAATAGAATTTTCAGCGATTTGAAAGGAGAGGATTCATGTAAATGTTCGTGCCAGTTTCCGAGTACGGATATCGGTGATTTCCGGGAATTAATTTTAGAGAGTCCTAGTCGTACGAGTTTATCTCAAGGATCTCGGTATCCTTTCAAAGGGAGACTTTAATTTTAACCTCGTTCGAGTTGACAAGGATGTTTCTGAAATTGAGAAGTTAACAATTTCTTCGTATTCAGGCTACATTTCCAAGGACCATGAAAACGGATGCAGTTAGTCGCAAGGACTTCGGAGATTGGTAGACTCATGAATAGTATCTTGGTTTCTAGAAATTACAGAAAGAAAATTATATCCTTTGAAGTTCCAATTCAAACAGAAATTAATTACTTTGCTAATAGTAAACAGTATACATGTTTATTTGGGATTCTTGCAATAAAATAAGTTAATGATGATACAGAAAAATAATCTTCTTTTATGTTCTATTAAATCTTGCAGAATATTTTTTTATGTACAGGGTGTCTCACAACTTTAGGACCTACAGTAGTTGTGAGACACTCTGTACACTATTTTACACGTCAGGTTCAAAAGCTGTTAACATTTATAAAAGTATGACCAGAACACAAATGAACAAATCCTAAAAGACATATACGAATTCGAAATATTAAAAATTTTATAACTTAATAAAATATAATAAAATTGTATAGTAATAATAAAATTGTAGTAGTGTTAGTACCAGTGCAATAAAATCACAATGGCAGAAAAATTGAACATAAAAACTTAAGCAGTTTAAAAGGCAGTTTCATCAAATATATTAAAAAGAAGTATATTTTTTACTCGAGTAGACAAGTGATAACGAAGCATTTGTCACCGGATTTACGTGTCCTCTACATATTCTGAATCCTATAAAATTGTCCTGAATCCTCTTATCAGTATCCCCTATAAAATTATAAGGAAACGTATGAACAACCCCCGGTTATAAATCAACACATGTTGGAGATCTTGCGAGCGAAAGTCAACGGCTCCTCAGTCATTTAAGCCGATGTCGTCGATCCGGGGTCGTCGTGTCTGACCTCGTCACCCTCTCCACAAACGAACATGACCCCGTGATCGTCTCTATTGGGTTGCAGAGTCGGAAATCGCCTCCATGAATCCCCGTGTGTGTACTTACATGCATGTGTGCACATACGCGCTCGAAAAGTACCGTGAAAGGTCAACAAACGGAAAATAGATCCGACAATGGCGGGCAGTCATATGACTAGCTCGAAGATTTAAGAGCTATTCTTGCGCTGGGGAATATTTCATTCGCGTACTTTCGTGAGATGATCTTTCTTGTAAATTGTTGAGGTACATAATATTCTTTTGCAAATTCGGAAATGTTGAGTTGAAGAAATTTGTTGGTGGAGATTTGCAAATTTGGGAGAGGAAGGTTGAGAGAGAAGGTTGTTTTATAGGTGTACTCATGTGAAATTTTTAAGCGAAAAAATTTAGGAAGACTGAAGTTTTTAAATATACGAGTATGAGACTTGAATGTACAAGATTGGAAAGAAAAGTTAAATAGAAACTTCATGTGTGTTTCATATGTAGAATCTTCCATTTCTCAATCTACAAAATTACTTTCAGATCTATGAATTAATCTTAAAATCCTCGTAAGCTAATTTTAATCTACAATATTCAAAGAATTAAAAGATCTAAATGGAAGAGAAAATATTAAAAATTTGTCGACAAATCTTTGAAACTCCCTTGGTGGTCAGAATTAAAAAATAAAGTTCAGCAGAATTAAATAAATTACAAATGTAGCATAACAAGAATGCAAGATTAACCTGAACGTACGCGAATTAAATTTTAATACTGTATGCACTGAATTTGTTTAAACACGGTGCAATTCAGTTTGTAAAGAAAAATAAGAAGAAAGCAGAGCCTACTCGACGATATATGGAAAAAAAGAACAGTCTCCAGAGAAACGTAGTTTCGTTGTTTCGTTGAAGAGAAAACAGCGAGGAGAAACCGACGGATTGGCACCGCCGGTCGTGTCTCTCTTCTTTTCATCAATGTCCTGGAAATTTCGTAGCCAAAATTTCGTGCCACGACCGATCAAAAAGCATCCAAATATCCGAATGCAACGACGAGCTTCTTGAAACGAAACGACAGCGGTGCAGACGCCTGGAGGACTCTTGGACTCAACAGTAAGCACAAAATGGCACCCGTAAAGAGACGTCCTCAAACGCGAAGCAATCACAAGAGTGAGTGTGATTATTTCGAAAAGAAAAATCTTCAGAAAGCTGTGATCAATTTTTATTACTTTCAATTTTACATATCTTGATATTTATTTAAATTTTCGATAACCTCATTTTTGGTTGCGGAGAAATTTTAAATGCAAACAAGACGATTACAAATTTATTTTTCGGTACGTCCGTATATTTATTTTTTTTTACTTGCACAGAAATTAAATACAGAAATAAATATTTTCGATAAAATACAATTACAAACAATATGAGTGCAAACAATTTATTTTTCGATACATACATGTATTATATACTATTTATTTTTCTTACTTGCATAAAAATTAAATACAAAAATAAATATTTTCGATAAAATACAATTACAAAAAATTTATTTCCCAGCGCATTCGTATATTACATTCTAAATATATTTTTCACATGTACAAAAATAAATTTAATTTTTTAGTACTTAACACAGATTTTTAACGAATAATTAAATTCGCCAATCAAATTTGTATTCAAATAAAAAAGTCTCTAATTAAAATTCAATCTGTATAATGAAAATTTCCCGAGACAATTGAAAAGCCGTAATGAAACGATGGTCAGTTTAATCCGTGCAAACGCAGAACACTGTTAATTTCATCGCCATACTAAAACAATTAAGCTGCAAACTTTCCATCGAGTATAAGAACCATCGTCGAAGTTACCCAAGCTCTCAAATGCCAATAAACCAGTTGCGAAAGTTATTCCGAGCATCCTTTTTTCGTCGCGAATAAACACCCACGTTTCAACATTTGTTATTCCATCTTCGAATTCGCGATGGACAGCGAAAAATCCATTGGAAATTTCCCTTGAGAATTGTAACGATTACGCATTTTTCAGTCTTTTTGACAGCTACGATTCAATAGTTGTCAGAACGAAAAACATCCACCTTTCTTTCTGTTGTAACATCTGTAACGATTCCATATTGACTGTTCTTTCTGTAGATTTCAATTTTAGATATTTGCTAACGTGCAAACAAATTGATGGACGGTTTTTGAAAATTGACTTTGAACGCTGTTTATTTTAAAACAAGAGTTATTTCATCTGGGGCATTTAGTATTACAAAATGTATAAATATAGTTTGAAGGGCAATTCTCGATACTTCGAACATTTTTTGGGCAGTTTTGAGGAAAATGTTCCTTGTTTATTTTATTTTTTAGCCAATATTTTGTCTTTAGACTTCACAGAGTCGTACAGAGATCTTGCAGTAGTGCTTTGAAAATTTTTTAAAAAATGTTTCTATGTGCTTTTGTTTATTGTGAAGTTTTAAAAAGTTTAAAAAAAAGTTTCTATATGCATTCGTTTACTGTGAAGTTTTTAAAAGTTTGCAAAATTGCAAAATTTCTATATGACTCTTAATTGTAGGATAAAGAGTACCTCTGAAAGTATGACAAAATATTGCTCTTGGCTTCAAATTAGTGGAACATTTTTCGACAAATTTACTGTTCTTGTCTCTCCTGACCAATACACCACGAGATAAACAAGGATCAATTTAGGTCCCAAAAGACATGACTTATTTACCAAACTCCACTTCGAACGTTGGAGGTTATGTAAACCTAACCTAAAATGTCCCTCGACCGAAAGAGTTCAGTTTTCACCGAATCAGTATCATAATTTGACAAATAAAACCTCAAATAATTTTCTAAAAATGTAAAAGTACTTTTATTTTTATCTAAAAAGGTCTTACCCCCTAAAACCTACTACCTCCTAAAATCCGCATAAATTTTAATTAAATTTTCCCGCTAAGAAATCTCCGTAAAAACCGTTCATTCGCTTCTTCCGCTCATTTGGCGGTCATTTAACAAATGGAAGTCTCCGTTGCACCGATCATTCTAAATTCACTCGCCGCCCACGTTTTCGCCGAAGCAGCGAATTAGCAAAACGAAAAATGCTCGAAAGAAATAGTTAAACGGAAGGTCGTTTCGACGGAAAGCGAGTTGAGGGCTATATAAAATTTATCACGTTTCCAGAGGTGCGTCGTCGTAAACCGAACATCCCCGAGCTGGTGTACAAGTATCTCTGCCTGGGTGACGGCAAAGAGAGCCGAGAGAACGCGGCGGAGAATTACATCAGGAAGTGCCGCTTTTGCAAGCGTCAGAAACACCCCAGAGAAGTTTTGGATTCCCCGGATTCCCGGAGCATCAAGAACATGGCGAACAAACGGAAAGACTCCACGAGAAATTCCAAGCTGCATCGGGTGAAACATCGTTCGACCAACAAGGACCAGACTTTGTCCTCGTGCATGCATAGGTCGTCCGGCGGAGAAGGTTAATTCTTTGTGCTTGTTCTATGTCATGGGGAAAATACATTATGCTAATTTTCAGGGTGCTAGTAGAAATTTATGAATTTTATAAAATTTTAACTCGAACAAAATTGACGAACGTACAAAAGTATCTCTCATATTAACCTTGAATATAAAAATGAATGATCCTATGCATATAAAAATTTGAATTTTACTAAAATTTGTTGTCAAACGTACAGAAGTATCTCTCATATTAACCTTGAATATAAAAAAGAATGATCGTATACATATAAAAATTTGAATTTTACTAAAATTTGTTGTCAAACGTACAGAAGTATCTCTCATATTAACCTTGAATATAAAAAGAAAGATCCTATACATATAAAAATTTGAATTTTACTAAAATTTGTTGTGAAACGTACAGAAGTATCTCTCATATTAACCTTGAATATAAAAAAGAATGATCCTATACATATAAAAATTGGAATTTTACTAAAATTTGTTGTCAAACGTACAGAAGTATCTCTCATAATAACCTTGAACACAAAAATAGAATAAACCTCTAAAAATAAAAATTTGAATTTTACTAAAATTTGTTATCAAACATACAAACGTATCTGTCATATCAACCTTGAATACAAAAATAGAATAAACCTATAAATATAAAAATTTGATTTTTAAATTTGTTGTCAAACGTACAGAAGTATCTCTCATATTAACCTTGAACACAAAAATAGAATAAACCTATAAAAATAAAAATTTGAATTTTACTAAAATTTGTTATCAAACATACAAACGTATCTGTCATATCAACCTTGAATACAAAAATAGAATAAACCTATAAATATAAAAATTTGATTTTTACTAAAATTTGTTATCTAACAGAAGTATCTCTCATATTAACCTTGAACACAAAAGTAGAATAAACCTATAAAAATAAAAATTTTAATTTGAATAAAATTTATTATCAAACGTACAAAAGTACCTCTCATATTAACTTAACCTACAAAACAGTTAACTTACATAAATTGAAATCTGAACTTCAAAATTCAAATTAAAACTGAAATTGAAATTTCTCATTTCATCCAACATATACGAAGTCAACTTCGTGTGCAGAAAAGGACTTAACCTAAAAAAGTACTCTTCAACGCACAAAGTAAAAAAAAATACAAAGTAAACACCAACTACGAAAATTTTACTCCTCACAGCTAGTCAAGCTATAAAAAATTCCCGTTAATTACAGTACACATTTCAATTTCCAGGAATTAAGAAGATGAAAAGGTATATCCAGAAGGCGCTCGACTTCGGCGTAGAATCCGGTTACCTGATTCCGAAGGACGCCGCGTACAAGGTTCTACGCGTTTCCTCCGCTCTAATGAGCGACGTTCATTACGAGGGTAGAAAGTCGACCAGTCCCGTTTCGCCCGCGAAAAACAAAGGTGCTCGTCGAACTCCGATCAGATTCGAGGACTACGAGGTGCAGGAGGCCAGAAGACGACGAAGAAGGGGTCGCAGGAGGCGAAGAAGATCGAGAAGTGGTTCCAGAAGGAGGAGGAGGTCCCGAAGGAGGAGGTCTCGACGCGGAAGAAGACGCAGCGGGTAATTCTGTTAAATCGATGTTGCCAACGGATGAAAATCTTGCGCAAATCTTACACAAACAACGTTATGTTATCTAACGTGATTACTTGGAATTGCAGTTCCTTGTTTCGATTCTATGAACTTCTGAATGGAATCTTGACTGGTGTTTTGATATAATGAATTCTTTGAACTGGGGCTTTTTATTTAGTAAAGTGTAGTTCATTCTTATAATAGCTCCAGTTTAGTGTTTTGATATACCTTTAGTGACATTTGGGTACTTTCGAGGAAATTGAGGTTATGTAGATAGGTGACTATTTATGTTTACTATCATTAATTTATGTAATGGATATAATGAAGGATGAAATGTAAGGGTATAGGACACATTTTGATAATATAGGGGAAATATGGCAGTCAAGGGGAAAGAGGACTTTTACTATTTAATTTTTGGGGATTCTTGCAAACTTCAAAATTTGGGGTTGGGCTTGGTTAGCATTTAGAGGTTTCTGAGGACGTGGGAATTTGGGGACGTAGGATATTAGGGACGTAGGATATTAGGGACATAGGAATTTGGGGACGTAGGATATTAGGGACATAGGAATTTGGGCGATATTAGAATTTGGGGATGTAGGAATTTGGAGAGATAACAATTTGGGGATATAGGAATTTGGAGACGTGGAAATTTGGGGACGTGGGAATTTGGAGATGTGAGAATTTGGAGACGTGGGAATTTTGGGCCGTAGGAATTTGGGGACGTGGGAATTTGGAGACGTGAGAATTTGGGGACGTGGGAACTTGGGGACGTAGGAATTTGGAGACGTGGGAATTTCGGGACTTAGGAATTTGGGGACGTGGGAATTTAGAGACGTGGGAATTAGAAGATGTGAGAATTTGGAGTCGTGGGAATTTTGGGACGCAGGAATTTGGAGACATAACAATTTGGGGATATAGGAATTTGGAGACGTAGGAATTTGGAGACGTGGGAATTTGGAGACGTGGGAATTTGGAGACGTGGGAATTTGGAGACGTGGGAATTTGGAGACGTGGGAATTTGGAGACGTGGGAATTTGGAGACGTGGGAATTTGGAGACGTGGGAATTTGGAGACGTGGGAATTTGGAGACGTGGGAATTTGGAGACGTGGGAATTTGGAGACGTGGGAATTTGGAGACGTGGGAATTTGGAGACGTGGGAATTTGGAGACGTGGGAATTTGGAGACGTGGGAATTTGGAGACGTGGGAATTTGGAGACGTGGGAATTTGGAGACGTGGGAATTTGGAGACGTGGGAATTTGGAGACGTGGGAATTTGGAGACGTGGGAATTTGGAGACGTGGGAATTTGGAGACGTGGGAATTTGGAGACGTGGGAATTTGGAGACATGGGAATTTGGAGACGTGGGAATTTGGGGATGTAGGAATTTGGGGACGTGGGAATTTGGAGACGTGGAAATTTGACGACGTAGGAATTTGGGGATCTTGAAATTTGGAGGCCTAGCAATTTGGGGATATAAGAATTTATGGACCTTGAAATTTGAAGACATAGCAACTTAGGGCTGTAGTAATTCTCTGACATAAGAATTTGTATACATAGAAAGTTATAGTAGTACAAAATTATGCACGTAAATTTATGATCGATTAATAATTGATACATGATTAATCAATGATCCTCTAAATCTTCATCCAAAATCCTACATCCACTGTACCACAACCCCAAACAACAAGGTCTCCAAAAACCTTCTTAAACTGTCACAAACATCAGCCAAACAAAATCAAATAAAATTAAATAGAAACAAAAATTTGTACCCAATTAATTCTGTGTCTAATAAAAATTTCAGGTCCGCAAACCCGGTAGACGTAGTCGAAGCCAACAACGACGAGTACGATTACAAGGACCAAGCGGAGAAGAGGAACACGACGGATAACGCGAGCAGGGGCGAAGAAAAAGAACGAACAAATCAGTCCGACAGAGAGAAAATATCTGACAAAATGGAAGAAGACGAGGGCTCGGATTTGTCCGTCGACGAAGACGAAACCGACGATGAAGACGAAAAGAAGAGAGACGACACAACTAAATCGTAGCCGTGAAACGGGACGTTGAACACATTGAAAGTGGCGAAAATTATAAGAAAGTTTACGCCTTCGCGAAAAGAGGGAAATTCGAAAGCTGACATATAAGTCCTCCAATAATTCTGATGCATTGTACAGTTTTATAGTTCGTATGAACGTTTACAAATTTCTTTTTGTGGTCGTGGTTTATTTGTACTTTAACACATAACATATTTTCTGGTCAATAAAACAATAGCCTCTATGTTCGTGTTTTATTTTCGAATGAGTGTTTACTTGGCTTTTAATATGTGTTTTTATATGAAATTCAAGGACACTGTTGGAATACAGGGATATAAAGTAACCTAAGTAAATATCTTTTTTATTCGCATGAACCATAATGTTAGTAATGGCTCACTTGAATATTGCCCCTAAAATGCCCCTATTTTAACAAATTGTGATTTTCCAGGTTTACTGCGACTGTAGTTTGGGTCAAATCGATGCTTCAAAGACCATGCACCACTGAAAATTCTGTTTTCTACCTGCAGGGAAGATGCAAATTGATGCAAACGCTTTCGTAGAACGAAAGTGGCAAGAAAATGCAAGAGAAAGGTGAAAGGTACAAGAGATACAAAAATATACTCGTATTGAAACAAGGGATGAAAAATTCAGTTTGATACAAAATATTGAAGCAACATTCATGTCTCAAATTAATAAAAATTAATCAAATTAATTTTTACTAAAAAAGTCATTTGTCATACATTCACATATTCCCATAAATTCAACCACTACATCTCCCTTGTTCATTGTTCCCTCGCTATGTGCTCTAAAGGACATGCAATAAGAGTATTAGCCTAAGTGACCGTCTCCGAATGACCCTCGCTGGAATTATTAAAAGTCCTCCATCAGAAGAAACCACCAGCGACTTTATGATCCAGCGGTCTGAATAATCCATGTAACACCATAACAAACTGTACCTTCGTACGAAATTGGCCATCGTCCACATACTCTTTGACAGATATCCGTCCCTTATTTCGCGCCCCTTTCTCGGGTCACGAAAGAATCGGCGATCCTGGGGTATATTAAGGGCCGATGACACGAATCGTTCCCTATTTGTATGCGGAAACCGTGTCCCAAGGGGTGAAACTGTTGTCTCGTGAACCTTAATTGGATTGAAACAACAAGGGTTCGTAAGGGCGGAGTTTTATCTTTATATTCGTACTTTGTTCCGTGGTCTCTCATTCTTTTTCGTGCTCCCTTATTTTGTGCTTCCGTAATCTGGGGGACTGTGGAGCGTAAGCTTGTGGAGTGCGAAACTGCAGGGTGCTTTTATGGACTGTGATTTTTGGTAATTGGTTAATGAGGGATTTTTGAGGTCCTTGTTTTGGGGTTTGGGGATTTGAGGAAATTTTGGGATTTGGGTTATGGAGGTTTGAGAATTTTGGCAGGTGGGAATTTGAGGATTTAGAAGTGTGGAGATTTGAGGATTTGGGAATTTGGAGATTTGGAAATTTGGAGAGATAGAGATTTAGGGAGATAGAGATTTGGAGAAATAATGATTTGGGGGTTAGGGATTTGGGTAGATGGTAATTTGGAAAGATAGGGATTTGGGGATATGGAAATTTAGGAAGATAGGGATTTGGGGAAATAGTAATATGGAGAGTTAGGGATTTGGCTAGATGGTAATTTGGAGAGATAGGGATTTGGGGATATGGAAATTTAGGAAGATAGGGATTTGGGGAAATAGTAATATGGAGAGTTAGGGATTTGGGTAGATGGTAATTTGGAGAGATAGGGATTTGGGGATATGGAAATTTGGGGAGATAGGGATTTAGGGAGATAGGGATTTGGAGAAATAATGATTTGAGGGGTTAGGGATTTGGGTAGATGGTAATTTGGAGAGATAGGGATTTGGGGATATGGAAATTTAGGAAGATAGGGATTTGGGGAAATAGTAATATGGAGAGTTAGGGATTTGGCTAGATGGTAATTTGGAGAGATAGGGATTTGGGGATATGGAACTTTTGCTAACTAGGGATTTGGGGAAATAGTAATGTGGGGAATTAGGGATTTGACTAGATAGCAATTTGAAAAGGTAGGGATTTGGGTAGATGGCAATTTAGGTAGATGGCAATTTAGGTTAATAGGGATTTGGAAAAATAGCAACGTGGAGAAATAGGGATTTAGGCAAATGGCAATTAGTTCAGCAAATTTTTTGCGCATGTAGAAATTTGGAGACACAGACACTTATTAATCTGAAGATCTAGAGATCTCCACCCAAATCACTTTAATCTCCCATACTCCATCCCAAGAAACTCCTCCATTCACTTTTGCTTCAGCCCACTCGAGACCCTCCGTACAAGTTCAACCGTAAGTTCGTCGAAAGTTGCGAGTACACAAATAATCCTACTCGCAGTTCGAGCAGAAGCCATTTACTAAATTACACAAGTAGCAAGAAGAGTCCAGCTAGACTATCGGAGCATAGTGAAACCGCTAACAACTGCAAGCATGGCCAAGCACTTGACCTTGAGCAGCCCGTGAACCCAGCCCCAAAATTTACGAGCGAGTCTCCACCACCACCCTTTCGCAGTTTTCTCTGTTGCACTAACGGTCGGTGTTCTGTCGTTCTGTCTTTGTTCGCCGAGAGATTCGCTCGACTGTTTTATCCTCGTTGCACGTGGAACGTGGTGCACCGATCGATCGACTGCATCGTCGACGAAGGGCGCAACGACGTTTCCCGCTTCGACGGCGCACAATGAAACCGAGTCGCTTTTCAAGCTGCAAAAGTCATCAAATTGTTGCTCTAAAAGCGTGTGAATGGGTTACCTCGCTTTTTTATGCGATTTGTGTCTTCTGTTTTTGGCAGGTTTCGAGGAGATCGATATATCATGAAACACGTTGTGGATCAATATTATTCTGTAGTTGATTGTACTCTGAAATGATGTACTCTGTTACTATATTTATCGATTTATAATTGTAGATTGTTTTTAGTAAGAAGATTAAAGAAAACTGGTTTATAATAAATTATAGTCCATGATGTCATTTTAGATTATGGTCTACAGTATAATCAATGATTGATGTTTATTGATATGATATTATAGGTTATGGTGTGTTTTAAGGTTAATACACTTGATCTGTATTAAAACTATTGTATAAATTTCAGATTGCAATCTAAAATATATTTTATAATTATATTTATCGATCTATAATTATAGGTTATGATCTACATTAAAATTAATATATCTTATCAGTATTAATATTATTGTTTAAGGTATAATCTATGATTGTATTTATTGATATGTAATTGTAGGTTATGGTCTGTGTTAAGATTATGCATTATTGTGTAACATATGTGTATATATTAGGTTATAGCCTAAAATATAACCTATAATAATATTCAATGATCCATAATTACAGATTATAGATTACAGATCATTTCCATAATCACGGGAATAAATTATGACATAAATCGTATTTGCACGGCAATTGAGTTTCGAGTTCAATTATAATTTGCGCGATTATGGATCGAAATCTGAAATGACATAAATCGTATTTGCGTTATGGGTTCAATTATAATTTGTGTAATTGCACGAATTAAGGATTGATTAATCTAAAATTTAACATTTTATCTTTATTTGTTTATTGGATAATTTAACTGAAACTTGAAAAAATTATAGATTGAGGGGTTAACCCAATATTTTTCTTCAAACATTTTACAAACGAATCGATAAAATTTATTTATAATTTACAATTTATCTATTTAAGAATAATAATAAAATTGTCAAAAGAATAATACAATTCATTTCAAAAATTTATTTAGTTATCAAAAAATATGTAGGTTAAAATAATTTCTTTCTTACAAACATCGTATATTTATTTTCACTGAATTTGTTTTTCGTGAATGAATCGTTTGCTATTTATTCAACATTTAGTTTATTTAGTTCATTCGATTCGTTTTCGATTTAAATCACTTTTTCTGACGCAGTTAAATGTGTAGGTTTGCTCTTTTTATAGAAGGTTTCTTTCTATGTATTTATTTTCATTGACTGTATTTTCTGTGAATGAATCGTTTGGAAACTATGAATCGCAGAGGTTCAAGGTTTCGAAAGGGTGTTGAGATAGTGGTAGTAAATAAGAAGGGTGGTTTTTGTTTACGCACGTTTGGCTTGTTTGTTCCTGATGAAGTGGAATTTTATTCTTTTGTAAATAATTTGGAATAAGATGTGATGAATAATTAATTTTATTAGATTATTATTTTTAAATTTTTAATCATGAATACTGTTAACATTTTTAGATTATGATTACTAGGTTAATACTAAATTCTTTATGTACATTTAACACATTTAATTTTATATTATTGTATTAAATTTTCTATATTATTAACTTAAATATGCAATATAATTATTTTGTAATATTCTATATGAAATTTGTTTAACCATAGATGCATTATAAATAATTACTGACACCTATGAACAAGTTAGATTACCACACAGGGAGTCAAGGTTTAATAAACTTCATTCGTTGAAAAATTAATTTTTCTTTTTCTTTTATATTCTATCAAATATAAATAAATTATTATTTGTCTTTTAGTTGCACTTTCTGATAATGTAATTTTGTAGCATTAAAAATATCGTAAATTTTTATTATTCTCTAAATAAATATTCTATTTCACCCTCGTGTTCAGAAAGATATTTTTTACAAACTCAAAAAAACCATAAAACAAAATCACAAATATCAAATATCAATTCAGTGTCAATTTAACAACATAACAATAAATTTTACCACTCAAATCGCTACAAAAATAAATAAATCCATTCACCCCATTCTCACCCCATTCCCCAAATTCCACAAAACTCATCCCAACTCCATGAAAACAAAACTTTAAGATAAAACAGCAACAGTTATGCCTAACAGTAAATTGTACCACGCACGTCACAACAAAAATAAATTAATCCATTCACCCCATTCTCACCCCATTCCCCAAATCCCCAAAACTCATCCCAACTAAACAAAAACAAAGAGCAATAAAGATTACCAGATAAAGTCTCACGAAAGAAGAGCTCCGATAAACCATCAAAATGATTACCAGAGATTATTACCAAAGATTACCAGATAAAAAGACAAGAACGTTTTAGTGCGTCGACCGACGATTGCGCACCACGTGGCTCGTTATTCGCGCCAGTAGGGGTGGAAAGTAGGGGTAGACTGCGCCTAGGGAAAAGTGGGGGTTAGGCGCCACTTGGTGGGGGGTTACTAGCGCCCAGTGACAGCCAATTCGCTTTTTCCCCCACTCTATTATTTCGTATCTACACTAGGAAGAACAGTGGCTTCAGTCGGCACGCGGCGTCGCGACGTTCAACGTCGTACGCGTTCATCCAATGATTTTAAATTTCTCGTGATTTTTTCTCGTGAAACAATCGTGACAGGAAACTTTTCCCCCGTATTTTGACAGTTTTTTCTTCCACTTGGAAACGGACTATCTTCAATTTTCTCCATTCGGTGAGTCCTTTGAATTTATGAAGTGTTCAAAGTGCATCTTGTGATTAAGTGTTTGAGTTGGACCTTTTTATTACATCTATCTAAAATTGAATTATAAATATTATAAGAGTATGGTGAGTTGATTATAATTTTTATTTTGCTGTGTTAGCTGAAATTTTGAAGGATCGTTTCTTAAAAAAAAATTTGATATTATTTAAAAATTGTAAGATCATAGTTTTGACTTTGATTGACAGTTTTGGTTCTTCACTTAAAATACATTGCTTAAAATGTAAAATATAAAATGCATAAGGGTGGTATTTTATTTAAGAATATAACGTTACATTTAGTAAAATGGATAATTTTTGTATAAATATTTTTTAGTTTAAAGATTTTCTGAAGTTCACAGGAAATTTATCTTCATTTGTGTTATATTGATACTGCGTGCATCGATCGTAAGGGGCGTAAGAACCACGTGATTCTATAAATTTTTAATGAACAGTACGCGTTAATCTGCAAGTGAATTAAAAAGAATATTCTTTAAAATGTTATGAAGGAATTGAAAATACGCTGATTTCAAAGGTAGACATTTAAAAAATAAACAGAACACAAATGAAATTAATGGACGAATGTATATGTAGACATAGAACGTGTACTTTAATTTAAAAGTTATAAATCGATGTACAGTTATTGAAATATTCACTTCTTACTTCACTCGAATACATTTTCAACGCAACGACCATTGACCCAGCGTCGATGGCTTTCAGCGGACTTCAAACAAATAGCTTTTATCGTGTTTTTTCGAGTGAAGTCCTGTGGACATTTTGTATACTCTCGTGTAATGGAGGTTTCTTTTGTCTTTGATTTTAGAAGACTTTTAAAATATCTTTTATCAAATTTAAACGTTTTTAGATTTTCAAGTTTATAAATGTGCAAAATTTTTAAATGTAAAACTGATGTGTTCTTAAATTTTAGATTTGGAAATTTGTAAGTTTTGAAGCTTTTGAGATTGATTTTCAAAATAAATATTTTGGATTTTTGGATCTTGTGTATTCTTAATTATCTCGTAATGATCTCACATTAATGACCTCGTAAATTTCTAAGTTCTAACATTCTCAGTTGTTCAAATTCACAAATCTCCAAATTTCTATATTTTTAAATTTCAAATAGTTTAAACTCTCAAATTTTTAAATTTCAAAGTTTGAAAATTTCTAAAGATCAAAATTTTTATTCAACAACTTTCCAAATCTCTAAATCTCCAAATCTCTAAATTCCCAAATTCCTAAAAATCCAAATTCTCAAATTTCCAAATCCTTAAATTCCCAAATTCTCAAGATGCCAAAAGTACAAATCCCCAAATCCCTAAATTTCCAAATTCTCAATTTTCCAAATCCTTAAATTTCTAAATTCTCAAGGTCCCAAAAGTCCAAATCCTCAAATCTCCAAATTCCTAAATTTCTAAAAGTCCAAATTCTCAAACCTCCAAATTCTCAAACCCCTAAATTCTCAAGATGCCAAAAATCCAAATCCCCAAATCCCTAAATTTCCAAATTCTCAAATTTTCAAATCCTTAAATTTCTAAATTCTCAAGATCCCAAAAGCCCAAATCCTCAAAACTCCAAATTCCTAAATTTCTAAAAGTCCAAATTCTCGAACCTCCAAATTCTCAAACCCCTAAATTCTCAAGATCCCAAAAAGTCCAAATCCTCAAATCTGCAAATCCCTAAATCCCTAAATCTCCAAATCCCCAAATCTCCAAATTCCCAAATCCTCAACTTCCCAAACACCCAAACCCCTAAATCTCCAAATCCCCAAATCACCACCTCCCAAATTCAAACACCCAGAATGACCTTTCAATGGGAAGTGAATGAAAAAGAGAATCTCCATTGTGCAAACTTCAGCTCGCCACTTTCGACCTAGTTTTTATGAAAAACCTTTGTCTACTTATAGCGCCCATTCGACCGCACCCTTTGGTATCCCAAACATCGATATAACGCGTCGCATATATTTACTCGCGCAATAATTTAATATAATCTCGCATTAGTATAATCGAGAATCATCTATAATATCTATGATACAATTGTTTCGTGTAGCATTCGATTTCGTTACAGCGGAACGTTTTATTGTTACCCTCATGGGGATTAAATTAAGTACGTAGGTTTACCTACATACAATAGTTTAATGAAATCAACGAAAAACACTTTATCGTATCTAGCTCGCGCAATTACCATCGAGGCGGGCAGAAAAACCCGATCGATCGCCTCTGTAATCATGATTCAAGTTAAGGAAAGTATTTCGATCAATCTTTACTCCTATAATTACTATTCGAATTAGGAGATAATCTATTCTTCTTTATTTATTGCTACTGCAATTTTTTTTTTGGTTATCATTCTCTACACCTGTACATTGATTCTAGGGTCATTTTGACCCAATATGAAATGTATTTGTAGTGGCAAATTTTTTAAATACACTATGTTTTGTGGTGGGTGCAGATATAATGTATGTGTCATATGTTATGTGTTATGTATGTATGTGTTATTTTTAACATATTTGAAATCAAATTTTTATACATGATTAAAATAACACTGCGTCGCAGTGCTTTTGATACAATCAGAAAGAAATACAGTAAATTGTGGGTACAGATATAATGTATGCGTCATATGTTATGTGTTATGTATGTAACATATATTATGTTTAATATATTTGACATCAAATTTTTTAACTTCATTAAAATGACACTGTGTCACAGTGTTTTTGATACATTCAAAAAGAAATACAGTAAGTTATATGCGAAGATAAATTAAAAATGTGCATATAATAAAATATTCTAATATTTAGTCATTTATGAGAATAATTGTATTTGACAAGAATTTCATTGATTATTTTATAACGTGTATTAATTATAAAACAGTGAAAGTATCAGTAAAATTGTTATTATTTTATACATATTTTCCTACAAATATTTTTAAAAATTTGCAAATTTGATTTAACAGAAATGAAGTTAGATGTACATACAAAATTTTGTTACACACATACGTGTACATATGTATTTTATACATATGGATGAATTTATGTTTTTGTTGTATACGTTGATAATTTATATTTGTGTCATATATAATAATTTTTGTTTATCTTGTTCATATTAATAATTTGCATTTATGTTATATATATTGTCAATTTATATTTATGTTATTCATATTGACAATTTACATGTATGTTACACATATGAACAATTTACATTTATATGATACATATTGACAATTTATTTTTTGTGTTACACATTTTGACAATTTATCTTTATGTTATACATATTGTAAATTTACATTTATGTTACACACATTGACAATATATGTTTATGTTACACATATGGACAATTTACATTTATGTTACACATATTGACAATTTACATTTATGTTACACATTTTGACAATTTATCTTTATGTTACACATATTAACAATTTACATTTATGTTACACATACTGATCATTTACATTTTTATTACACATATTGACAATTTATATTTACACATATCAATCATTAATAACACATGAACCATATTATACACATTGAATTTATATTTCTATATAAAATATCAAGTCTCTCATTTTTAGCTTGACTGTCTATAATATTGAAACACCATGAATGATCTTACAAATTAAAAATTGACCCAATGTTACCAAAGATTAAAAAAATTGTAGTAGGAACTGTTACTACAGGAAATGAAAAGATAGACGCGTTCCCATAAACCGCGTATTGCGTTCAGCGAAATAAAATCCAATAATTCAGTCGACATTTCCCCTGTAAATTGGTGACTTTCATGCAATTCTATCGGTGCTCGAGTTGATAAATGCAAATATTGGAACGAGATATCGAGTCCCGAGAATCCGATTTTAAAGGATATTTCTCGAGGATCTTCGCCTCTTTCCAAGTCTTATTGTTATTTATTTCTACTTTCTTCTGGTTCTTTACTTTTAGACGATTTTGGGATGATTGGGTATTTACAGATTTAAGGATTCAGGAATTTAGGGATTTAGGGGAGAAGATTTGGAGATGCAGGTATTTAGAGATTTCAAGGTTTAGGGATTTAGAGGAGAATATGCAAATTTGAGGATGCAGGAATTTAGAGATTACAAGATTTGGGGATTTAGGGATTTAGTGGAGGATGAGAAAATGTGGAGGTTTAGGAATTTAGAGATTACAAGATTTGAGGATTTAGGAATTTGCTGGAGAAAATTTGAAGGTGTGGGAATTTAGAGATTTCAAGATTTAGGGATTCAGTGGAGAACGTGAAAATTGGAGAATGTAGAAATGCAGAGATTTGAGAATTTGAGGATGTAGGAAGTTATGGGGCATATAATTTAGGAAAAGGGAAGTTTGAAGATATATTAGAAATTTGGAGAAATCGGGGATTTGGGGATATGGGAATTTGAAAAATATGGAAATTCGGGAGATACGGAAATTTCAAAAAATTGCCTTAGGGATATGGTAATTTAGGGGTGCGAAAAAATGAAATTATAGAAATTTACGAAAATGGGAATTTGGGTAAGTAGGAATTTGCAATGCAAAAATTTGAAGATATGGGAATATGGGAAAATACGAATTTGAATATTTTAAAAATTATTAACGCAGAAATTTAGAAATTTAGAAACTCACAAATTTAAAAGCTTAGAAATTTAGAAATTAAGCTACATAGGAACTTAAAAACCTAAAAATTCAAAAATGAAAAATCTTGAAAATTCCAACAATCAAAAACCCCTAAATACCCAAATCAAGGAATTAAAACCTAAATCAGCAGCTCAGTACCGTTTCAAAATCGATCAGTAAGCGCACAGGCCAGCATCGATCCCCCAGTCCAAAATGTTTACTAATTAAACGGTCCTACGGGCAACACTTAAAATATTCAATGAAATCCTCCCTTCGGTACGGGGCCAGAAATCTCCCGACGGAATGACGTCACCACGCAATTCGTTTTATCATCTCGCTCACACTCGCGTGGACGTTCGTTAATATTAATGTGATCTTGT